GTACTCGACTCCTCACAAGCTGACTCTAAGTCATCACTCATACGCTTAGGAGTAACGACTTGGGGGCTCATGTTCTGGACTGGCCCAATAATTAGAATTGGCCCAATCCGTTTTTACCCTTGGCATGGCCCAACAATGCTGGCCCAACATCTCTGATCGACCGCTTCCTCAAGTCGCATAGCCAACAATGCTCAAAACACGTACCTTCCCATGCGAGTAGTCACCTCTCAATCTACTCGACACACGAAGAGCAGACACCCAGGAAAAACTCATAAACGCTTCTACATGTCATCTCATCCTTGCTCGACGCAACGGCTAGTTATGGGCATGACTTCCCGTTTTGACCAAGTCTTGACAGTTGCCTATTTTTACGAACCCACATATCTAGGCCCAAAAATAGGGACCAATGGCCAAGCGTCGGGAGCATTATATAAACCCTCGCACTTATGAGGTCCATGTATCCAATATTCAAACCTAAAACCCTAATATATTTCTTGTATCTCTTTGCACACATTCTTACTTGATCATCAAAATGCCTTGGAGGTACAACCCCCTTTTCTCTTCAACTTTCCAGCCAACCAGATGTCATCCTTCGGCCCACTTCCAAGTTCTTATCAATTGGTAAGATCATTGATTATATATATGATTTATTGGACAACTATGAAAATCAAATAAGATTTAAATTTGAATTTGATACAAACCAAATCATATCTTTTTGGTGGAGATATTTTGGAGTAAATTATATCCAACTAATTATACATTATTTTTGGTCGAAATCAAATAAAATTGTACATTAGTACTAAAAAAATCATTATCAATGCCAGTGGAGTATCATCTTTTGATGAAAGTTATCCTATTGTATTTCTATCACCCTTTTTATCTATATCCAATGTTTTATTTATTCCCACTTTGAATTGTAATATTCTATTCGTTAGTAAATTAAGTCAATCTCATACTTGTGTTGCCATGTTTTTTTCTACCTGCTGTTTTTTTCCAGAGCATTCATATCAAGGAGAAGATTCGCAGTGGTAAACAAAGCGAAGGGATATATTATCTAGAAAAAAATCATCAGTAAACCCATAAAAATGCATTAATTGATTTTTCAAGCGGCAACATACAAGATAAAAACATAAAGAAAATTTGGCTATGACATATACGATTGGGACATCCACCTTTTAGTTATCTAAAAAGACTATTTCCTTCATTATTTCGTAAAAATCACATTTTAGGTTTTCATTGTGAAACATTTATATTGGCAAAGAGTCATCATATTATCTTTCCTTTAAGAAATAAAAAGAATTGATTTATCTTTTTCATTAATGCACACTAATTTTTGGGGGCCTACTCCACAATCTACACATAATGGAATAAGTTGATTTATGAGTTTTATTGATGATTGTAATAGGGTAACCTGAGTATATTTGCTTAAACATAAAAGTGATATGTATTATGTGTTTCGATTTTTCCATCAAATGACTGTCACATAATTTAACAAGTTTATAAAGTTCTTTAGTTCAGATAATGATGAGAAGTATTGTAAGAAAGAATTAAAAGAGTTCATGAACTTAAATATCATTTTACATCAAACTAATTTCCCTTATTCACCACAATAAAATGGAGTAGTTGAGAAGAAAAATAAACATATACTAGAAGTGAATAAAACAATTTTTTATAGATGATTGCGTTTCATTATATTTATGGGGTGAAGCCTGAACTATGTTGTTTATTTTATTAAATGAATCCCTTATAGTGTTCTTAATTTTATAAGACCTTTAGATGTGCTTTATGTTTATTGTACTATTTCTTTCATTGTTCATTTACCCTTCATGTTTTTGGATGTGTTATATATGTTCACCTACACCCACATCAATGTAATTTGAACATAGAGTTGTTAAATGTGTCTTCGTAGGGTATGATTCAAATAAAAAAGGATATTATGCCTACCATCCATCATCAAAAAAATGTATCTCTATGTATGTCACATTTCATGAATATGAATTATTTTTATCATACTAACTCTACACTTTAAGGGGAGTGAAAATAAAGTGAAACATCATGATGTGAGTATGTTTGATATTTGAAGTATAGTCAATTTTCTCAATCGCCTTAAGAGTTTCACCATGACTCATTATAGGTATCCAATGAATCTCTTTCTAATGCAGAAATTAATCTTGAAATCGACCATTGTTTGCATAAAATTGAACATTTTTTTTGCATGAAACTACCAACACATCTAACTTTGAGTCAACTAGTGTCCAATTTAATCTTCCACCTTGCTCTAATCAAGGTCAACCTCCAAAAGATATGAACTAGGCCTTCAATCCAAAGTAAAATATCATATTAGTTATCATTTTTCATGTCATAAGTTATCCCAGTCATACGTATCATTTATATTTCAATCATCGTGAATTACTATTCCGAAAATGTACAGAAAGCTTTGGCAGATCCTAGATGGACCAAACTAAAAAAATTAGGAAATAACAGCTCTTAAAAAATAAAATGTGGGATCTTATGCCTTTATTATTAGGGAAGAAAACTGTAGGATGCAGATGGATTTTTACAATAAAATACAAATCAAATGGATGAATTGAAAGGTATAAAGCACGACTAGTGTCAACATGTTACATTCAATCTTATGGTGTAGATTATGAAGAAACATTTTCACTAGTTGCCAAACTCAACATTGTGATAATAATTTTATCATTAAAAACAAACCAGGATTAGCCTCTTCCTTAATTTAATATCAAAAATATGTTTTTGCACGGAGACCTACAAGAAGAGGTATATATGGATCTTCCACTAGGCATGTCAAATTCAAATACGCCGAATGCATACAAGTTAAACAAAGCTCTATATGGACTAGAACAATCTCCAAGAACATGGTTTGGCAAGATCACCAAGTGTTTGACGATTTTTGGTTATATCCCAAGTAACTCTAATCTCACCTTATTTTTGAAGAAAATAAAAGGAAAAATAAAAGCCTTGATTATCTATATAGATGATATGGTAGTGACAGAAAATGATAATGATGAGATTTTGAGTTTGCAGTAATATCTTGTCTCTGAATTTGAGATGAACCAACCTGGGAATCTCAAACATTTTCTTGGAATTGAAGTGGATAGATCAAAACACAAATTTTTTCTATTAAAACGAAAATATATTCTTGACATGTTATATGAAACTGTGATGCTTGCATTTAAACCAACATACACTCCCATTTAACAAAATCACAAGTTATTACATAGCTAAACTCAACTAGCACAAACAAAGGGAGATAACTAAGCTTGGTAGAGAAGTTGATTTATCTCTCATATACACGATCAAACATCAGTCATGCAGTGAATGTTGTAAGTTAATTTATGCATGATCCACTAACGCCTCATATGAATGTTATACAGAGGATACAAGTATACTTAAAATTCATCCCATGTAAAAGAATATTGTTCTCAAACCATGGTCATTTAAGGGTGGAAGGCTACACTTATGTCGACTAGGCAGGTTCATAGAGAAGGTCAAACTTGAGATATTTCACTTTTTAAAGAGAAAATATCGTAACTTGGAGAAATAAAAAGCAATTGGTAATAGTTAGATCAAGTGCTTAAGCAAATTTGAATATTTGTACTATTATGGGTGAAAAGTGTCTTATCAGACTTTGACTTTGAACCAATGCGACTATGAGTGTGTATTTTGTCAACACATCAGATATTAGAATTTCTCATAATCCTGTCCAACATAATCAGACAAAACATGTTAAAATCGATAAACATTTCATTAAGGAGAAATTTGAAATTAAAACAATTGTTTTTTCTTTTGTAAAATCTCAACAAGAATTAATTGTTACGCTCAAAAAAGGGAATAGCAAGAAGGGTGTTTAATGAATCTCTACTTAAGTTGGAAATGGTGATATCCATACATTAACTTGAAGGGGTGTTAAATAAGTCAAATACTATTAATCATAAAAATAATTATTTTTTGTGATAATTGTTGATTTAGAGAGAATGGAAAATTGTGATACGATCTATTTGATTAGTTTTTTTCTCAAAATTATCAAGGAGAGATTCTAGAAAGAGAGAATGGAAAATTGGGATGGGATCTCTTTTTGGTATTAATTGATTTGTATAAACATGACTAGTTTTTCTTTTCAAAGTCTCCTATTATCAAGGAGAGACGGGAGAGAAGTTGTATAAAAGTTTTTATAATGTGAATAAATAATATATTAGAATTTCTCTTTTAAAACCCTTTTTTACATTACAAAATATAGTAAAAGAAAAGTATTTTTAAAATAGTAAAAAGTAATATTTTTAATATAAATTAATGGATCTTCTTCTATTGAAAAAGATAATAAGAGATGAACTTGATAGTTTTTATGTTTTACCCATCGATTGAATTTGTTCTTTTTAGAAAATATTTTAGTAGATCCTAAATAGATTAAAAAAATTATTTTAATCCATCTATTTTATCTTATTTTCAGAGTTCATCTAAATGTTAGCCACTTGGTTCTATAAATTTGTAGCTTATTTTTGTTTCACATTGTTAAACCTTCCAAATGTCAATGTATAGAAAGACTTGTACTATAAGAGAACCATGCTTAATGGGATTGCCGTTTCTATTGCAAATTTCCAACTTTTCTGCTGCATCTTTGATTTTAATATAACCATGTTGCTAATTAAAAACAGAACACAACTGTGACTTCAGAGTTGAAATTTGGAGTATATTTTGATTCCATACAGATCTCTTTTTATTCACAAAACCAATACACTACTTCACATGGACTCTTTCAAACTATTGCTAGCATTGACCAACACCTTATATTTTAAACTAAATAACATTATAACAATGCAATCAAATTTCTCTTCTTTGAATATGTGACAAAAGAAAATGAAAATTATATATCACACAAAGAAAAATTAGCACACATAAACATATGATGTTACATATTATATCATATAATATGCATGACAACATTTTAATAACATCATCCTTATCTATTTGTCCTAATCCTAAGATGTTACCACATGTGGTTGACCAACTTTGGCTTCTTCCTCTTTCTTTACTTCCACCATTTCAGCTTCTTCTCTATACCTCTTGTATATGTCCCCTTTGTAAAACTTTCTTGTTCTCGCCACTAAAATAAGTGAGACAACTGCACCAAAAAAAGTCGCAGCTGTAATAATAATGAATGACAATTTGAAACATTTAACACCAACACAATTCAATTGTTCTCCTTTTTTTCTGGATCGTCCTAGTGCGTCCAATTGTTTTTTACCTTCTTTGTCATACAAATGACCAGTGATCATCACATTAAGAACATATAAACCTAACGGGCTCGCTACACTTCCGAAATTATACAAAGTTGCATAATATTTAAGTCCAAAAAGTTCTGAAATAATCGCGAAAAGTAACGGCCATTGCGCGCCAAAACAAAATCCAATAATCACAGATGCTGCGTAGAGACCATTGGGAACATTGAATGCTATCAAAAGATGTCCAATACAAGAGATAAAGAGAATTATAGTAAGCATGAGAGGACGAGGAAATTTGTACTTGACAAGAACATATTCCGAAACAAAACCTGAGAAAACTCGTCCTAGATAATTCCAAATACTTACTAATGACACAAAAGTGCTTATGCTTTTCTTAGGATATCGAAGCGATGTACCTATCTGATTAAGATTATCGATCGCTGTCAAGGCTCCACCAACACCAGAAATACATGCCACAAATAGTATCAACATGTCAATGCTGAAAAGTGCTTGAAGTATTGTGTAATCCTCACCTCTTGCTGGTGGATTAAACACATCCTCAAACCATCTTGGATCTTTCATTGGAGTTGAAGCTGAAACTGAATGAACAGCATTGTTGACTTTTTCAGTTTCCGTCACTATTTTCACCGGTGAAGAATCAACCAAAGCGAGTCTCTTACTCTTCCAAATCTTGTTCTCTTCGATAAAAACAACAAGAAGCGGGAGAAGAAGCAAGAAGATAACCATTGCAGCACTAAAACCATACTCACTCTGCGTGAAATTAGTCTTCTTCTCTATGATAATCATCGCCAACAAAAAACCAGCAAGACCAAGTGAAATATACAAGAAATTATAAAAAACCTTAATCTCTTTAACTTGTCGAACAGGTTTCATGTATCGAATGGTTCGAAGAAACGCGAAAGACACCGCCGCCGGAAGCCAGCCTATCAACAAAATCAAAGACTTTGTGTCATCATAATAAAAAGCATAATAAAGCTGAGTTATGATGGCGCCACTGAGACCAACATAGCCTTTAAGAATTCCCAAAACAGCGCCGCGAGATTCGGGGAAGTTCTTCACACAAGTTACAAGTGAACCGGTGTTTGCAAAAGACTGAGAGTTAGCACCAATGCAAATGTAAAGACACATTTGCCAAACTTTTGGTGTTGCTATTTTTTTGGTTACTGATAACCAAATCATGAAGTAACCAAAGAAATTCAGAATAGCACCTATTGTTAGAACTACCCAAGGTGGATATATTTCGTTGACTAATCCGGCAAGAATACCAACGTTGGCACCAAAATCTTTGAAGAAACTAAGGAGGTTGAGTGTGCTTTGATCATAACCAAGTGCATCTTTTATGTCGCCGGAGTATAACGCAAACATATACGTGGCTCCGGCGGCAGCCATGATTAGAAAAGAGGCGAACACGACGAACCATCGTCCAGTTATGAACTGGACGATGAGACTTCTCGTGTCGCCCCAACCATGAACACCTAAGGAGTTAATTTTAAAAGCCATTTTTGTGGATTGCAAGAAAATTTGCAATGGCTAGGTTGCTAGCACTTGTAATTGGCGATTCTATAGTTATAGAAGTAGTTATGATAATGTTAGTGTATAAATTAGATTGATTAAGCAAGTTGTTCAATTCTATATATAGATATAGAATACCCTTAAAGTCATTGATACTTTTTTTTATATTTGTTTATTGCTATTAATGTTAAAATATCTCAAAAATAATTGAGATCTTTTAATTTATAATATATATTACTTTCTTTTTTAATTATCCTTATCCTATAATTTTATTTATAGTATCATTTAGTGTGGGAGGATGATATTTTTAACTTTGCATTTATGATATAGATAAATACAACACTCCATCCGTCATACTTATAAAATCTATTAAACCTAAAATGCCACTTTTAATTTTTAATTTAATTTTAATTTTTGTCTTTAAAAGTTTTTTCTAATTAATTTTCTCAATTATTTTACTTAACATTTATGATACCTTTTTATATAATCCTAATAAAATATATAAAAAAGAGAAGAACTAAGGAGGAAGGTAGGCCTCACCCTTAGCATGCAAGGAAAAAAAATAACACAAACGATAATAATAAGGAATATCAAATTTATTTTTGGTGAGATCTTCTTTAGTGACAATAGGAGAAGAATTTCACTAATTAATTTTCTCTACAATATTTTTCTTCTTTGACAGCAACTAAAATATAAAGATGTGAGTGATGACATAATGCATAGACTTATGCTTGCACTATATTGTTAGTCGTAAAAAGAAATTAACCATTAAAAAGTTAGGTTAACTAGGGAAGCTACCAAAATGAAATAAAATGATTACAATACATTTAAAAATAATTTCGTAAAATTAATATTCTTCCTCTTTTACTTATTATTAAAATATAACAAGTATGTTTATTATTTTCGGTTTGTTATTTCATTAGAAAATTTATTACTAAATATTAATTGTTAGTTAGTTCAGTGGTGATTGACGTTGGATTTAATAAGAAATATTATAATTCGATCTTCTGCAACTGCGATCGAAAAGAACTGAAATCACTTGATGTTAGAGAGAATTGATAATTCAGTTCAGCATAACCGCACATACGTCTAGACAAAGTGTCTTAGATGAACAAATCATTTGTTCAATGTCTAGTTAGGTTTTCTCCAACGAACATTTGAATTGTAATCACCAGCTATGGTGGAGATTTAGTTAGGATTTGTTTTTTCAAAACGGTTTTAATAAAAATTTTGATTTGATTTGAATTCAAATTTTAATCTTCATAATTTAAATTTGATCTTATTAAATTATCAAACAAATCTAATTAACCAGATTGCTAAAAGATAGCAACAAATCCGATTGAAATGCAATTCAAAAATACGCTCAGAACAACATCCATCATGGCCTGCTGACAAGGGTCAGATGTTGCACACATGCTGGAACATCTGGTCCCACATGTGTCTTTTCTTCACTAAAACATCTTGTACATTCCATATTATTTTTCATAATGCAGCCAATTTAAAAGGAACAATAATCTCCCCCTATGATAAGTTTAGGCAAAAAAACTCTTTCAAAACTTACAAGATGTGCAAAGGGTAAATCTTCTAGAATATCATAAATGAGCATCAAAAGCATACCATGCTCTGAACAGTCAGAGCAAACATCAACAACATCATGAGTATAAAAGCATAATAACACACATCAGTAATATAATTCAGTAGCAAACATCAGTAGTTCAAGTGGTTGTTATACGTCAGTCAGTCATTCACACAATGATGCTCTCTTAATCAATCAAGACATGCAATCACACATGATCAGTCAGTCACGCATGCATACACAATTAGTAGTCATAGTCAAATCATCAGATACTACTAACACACATGGTAGTTAGCATAGTTGGTCAATCACTAACATATCAGCCTACTAATATCCTCCTTTTACCATAATTTGAAAAAGTTATTAGCACAGTCAGTGAACATAACAAGCAGGAGTAAACAAACATCAACCATGAGCATAAATGTTGTACATAATGCCAAGACATCTACACTTTGTTATTGGAAACAAAAACCATAAGGCTAACAAGCCATTACAGATCCATAACAAGGAAACATAACCTGCTCAAATACAAGGGTCAAACAAACTAAGCAAATACACCTGGAATAAACAACCTTCACAGTTGTTGGTTAGACCATCCTCTTGAATCAATGAAAGTAACTCATTCTTCATCAGCATCAGAGTCATAACCGTATGTCTGAACATGTCTTTTATTCAAAGACTTCATCTTTGTCACAGACTTCTTCCTACACACAGATGCTCCAACAAATGGTCCAATATGTGTATCCACCTTGATTTCAGTCTTCTTTGATTATGGAGCCCTAGCCTTCTTTGATTATGGAGCCATATCCTTCTTTTGAGACTTGTCTTCTAGCATCTTAGCTTTTGCTTTTCCAGATGATTGACTCATTTTTTAAAAGAATGGAGAGTGAATAATATTCTTAATACACTAGAAAAAGAGTAAAAGTGTATCTTTTCTTGTAACAATGAACCGAATAAAAAGCAACTTTGCAATTAATCTTATTTCACATGCACCATAGACCATAAGAGAGAGACACTTTCTTGTTCTCCTTACACGCCTTCCTAGTTTTGATGGTTATAGACTCTCAGAAATGCAAATACCAAGAGCATCATTTAGTTTTTCAAATTGATTTACATCCAAAGTTTTAGTGAATATGTTAGCCAAATATTTTTCAGTTGTTATATGTTCAAGATTCATAACTTTATCTTCCACAAGTTCCTTGATAAAATGATGATGAAGGTCAATGTGTTTGGTTTTAAAATGTTGAAACAGATTCTTTGAAATATTAATAGCACTCAAGTTATCATAGAATAATGTCATGACATCTTGTCCTATATTATACTCCTTCAACATTTGTTTCATTCAGAGTATCTGAGTGTAACTGCTCCCTACAACAATATATTCAACTTCAACACTAGACAATGAGAAACTATTTTTCTTCTTGTTGAACCAAGATATTAAGTTGTTGGAAAGGAATAAACATCCACCAAATGTGCTTTTTCTATCTTCTGGACTTCCATCCCAATCAGCACCATAATATCTACTAATATTGAATTAGTGTCATGTGAATATAGAATACCATAGTTACAAGTCCCATCCATATGCTTCAAAATTTTCTTCACTTGAGTAAGATAACTAGTCTTAGGTTTAGCTTGATATCTAGCACAAACATTTAAAGATAATGTGATGTTAGTACTACTTATTATAAGGTAGAGAAAACTCTCAAGCATGCTTCTATATAAACTCTGGATCTGGTCATGACTCATTCATTCAGATCTCCTATGACATTTTCAATAGGATGGTCCTTCTGAATTTTAATAGATGGTCCCTTGTTGGCTTAAGAATTTTCAGAGTTTAAGTTTTATGTACCAATGTTTAACTCCTTGGGTGTGACATATATCCGTTGAGGGGAAACATCATCTTCATCCTCAACAACATCCTTTTATTCAGGGTTATCATTAATGACAACATTTATGGATTCCATGATTGTCTTGGTATGAGTTTTGTATCCCCTGTAGGTCATGTTATTGATAGAGTATCCTAGAAATATCCCTTCATCACTCTTTGGATCCATCTTTCTTCTTTGCTCACAATTTGCCATGATGTATCACTTGCTACCAAAGGCATATAAGTATTTAACATTTGGTTTTCTTCCTTTCTAAAGCTTATACAAATTAGCTCTGGTTCCAGATATGATGGTCACATGATTGTGAATATGAAAAGAAGTGTTCATAGTTTCATCCCTAAAATGTTAAGGAAGATTCTTGGCATGCAACATGACTCTAGCAGCTTCTTGCATGGTTCTATTCTTTCATTCTACAACTCCATTCTGCTGAGGTGTGATAGGTATTGAAAATTCATGACTGGTCCCTTCAACAGAGCAAAATTTAGAGAACTTGGAATTCTAGAATTCTTTGCCGTGGTCACTCTATATATTCACAATTTCACTTCCCTTTTCTTTTTGAATACGTAGGGATATCTCTTTAAAAACATCAAAAGTGTCAGATTTTCCTCTAATGAAGTTAATATACGTGTATCTTGAAAAATCACCCACGCACATAAAAACATATATTTTTCCACCAATAATTTCCACTTTCATAGGCCCCATGAGGTCCATATTTAGTTAATAAAAAACTTGTAAGGTTGTCAGATGCTGGAGCTTCTTGTGGGAAATCTTGGTCTGCTTACCTATTTGGAAATCTCCACAGATTTTGCTTTCTTCAATTTTCAGCTTTGTCAAACCCATAATGGCTTCTGCAAATATGATCTTCTTCGTGCTCTTGAGATTGAGATGACTAAGTTTCTGCTTCCATAACTTATTTTCATCAACCTTAGATATCAAACATGACGAGGGTTAGATATCCATATATAGTAATTTTCATTGGACCTAGAACCTTTCATTAGCACTTCTTTCTTTTTTGGTGACAGTACATTTATACTTGTTGAATTTCACATTCAGACCTTGATCACATAGTTAACTGATGTTGATCAGATTTGTAATCAGACCTTCTACCAGTAACACATCCTCAAGGCAAGGGAAACATGGACTTACCAGTTTCATATGCCCTTGATTCTACCTTTCGCTCCATTACCAAAAGTAACATAACTATTGGAGTATGGTTTCAACTCTTTAAGATATGGTTTTTCTCTAGTCATGTGCCTGTGAACATCCACCATCAAAAGACCAATCTCTTGAGGAAACTCTAAGAGATGTATGAGTTATGTGACTTGTGGCTGGTACCTTGGGTTTCCATACTTTATTTTCTTGAAATTGCTTGCCTCCTTTTCTTTTGAGTTTTGGTTGACTATAGAACCAAGGATATCCATACAACCTATAACAATAAGGTCTTATGTACTCATATCTTTTACAATGATGACATCTCCAATCAAAATTCTTGTAACCTATGTGTTGAGGGGAAACATGTTGAGTAG